CCCCCCCCCCCCCCGTGCATTATAATGTCCGTCTTTTCACTGAATTGACGTCTTGAAAAGGGTACTCACAACAATTCCGCCACAACTTCATCTTCACCTGTTGCACTTGTCATTTCAACGTTAAAAACAATAAGACGGATGAATTGCTTCGTCGCATTCGATCTAGATCCTCTGTCTCGAGCCAGTTAACTAGCGGGCCTTCTAGAGTACCCTGGAACCGATGGGGAACTCTGAAAGAACACGCCCATTGGCTACAAATCAATATATGATTGGTTGATCAAACTGTCAGTCCAAACGTACGCTCTCGTTCAGTGCAACGGCCAGGGCATTCGATCAAGGATATAGAATACCTTGTTGAAGGATATTCTACCCAGAGACCCAGAACAAGATCTGATTGGTTGCTTTCTTTTCTAACACAAAACCACTGAAATGCGTAGTGCATGGTCCGAGAAGGACAAACAAATCAACGTAACACTGTAATATTACAGATCAACAACACAGATACCATTCTCATTTATTCATTTTATATACATTTTATATACATTTTATTTATATAATTAAATCGATTTTTTGTTTGTTTTATCTTAGTGTTCCAGAGTATTCTCTTAATACCTTGAAGGCCCTGACGGTTTGCCACTGGTATATTTATAACATTTAAAAAACATTCTAATTAATAACGTGACAATGATTTCAAACGTGTTGCCTGGTCCTATGTGGAAGCATTTTTTATATTTTGGTCAAGAGAAACCTATTTGAAATGTGATGCTTATATTGTAGTTTTTTTAATAATAAATGTGAATATTAGTTACATCTTGTAACTTTTCCCTTTCCTCTCTTCTCTGCACAGGTGACTACGGCCGCCTTGGCCTGCGGTACCAGATATATCTAGAGCCCGGGGTGTACGAGGTCCCTGTGATCGTGTCGGACTCGGGGAACCCTCCGATGTCCAACCGGTCCGTCATCAAGGTGAAGGTGTGTCCCTGCGATGAGCACGGAGACTGCACCACCCTCGGAGCTGTGGCCGCCGCCGGCCTGGGGACGGGAGCCATCATCTCCATCCTCATCTGCATCATCATCCTGCTCAGTGAGTATCAGCTGCTCACATCCCACCCACTGACACCTCAGAACTTCCAGAGATTTCACACACACACATATATACATGCACTAAGGTAAAAGTTAAGTCTGCTTGTGATTTGATTCTGCCAAAAAGAGTGCATTTCAGGGTTCAGTCTGCGATACAGCAACATGAACAGTAGTTTGTATAATGGATTAATGCCTCCACTGCTGCACTCTTCTCCAGCATCTCCTGACAAGCAGGTTTCTGTCTTCTTTTCCTGGCGTGTATGGCTGGTTATTCATGCCGCTGGCACACTTTGATGCCGCGGGACACATTATTCAAACATATAGACGTCCTGTAGACAAACTGAGCGGCTGCTGCAGGGTTCTATAGCATATTTAAACTGTTGGATGTTGACTGGATTATACTGTGTGTGAATGATCCATCCTTCATTATTTATACTACACTACGTTTTGGAAGTGATTCACATTTTATTTATTTTAAAGTTTATTTGACCAACTTTACACACACACAAGTAAAGTTTTACATTTCTCTCTCAAGGAAAACATTTGTAATTCATTGTTCTAAGAAATGTAACAATGCTAAAACCAGAAAAAAAAGACTCCCTATATGTAGGGGCTTAAACTTTTGTACTGGTTTTAGGGGAAATATCTCAACTAATAAATTGAACTCCATCCAATTATTATACACACATTTAACCCTCCTCAGGATATTGCTAACATGCAAAAGTTAAATTGCTGAACGTGGTAAACATTATATCTGCCTGGCTAAGATCAGCACGTAGCATTGTCATTGTTAGCATGTTAGCATAGGGACTCATCACTGCAGACTCTTATTTTGATTAATGACAAGGTTAATAAAAGTGTTTCCTGATTGTGTGTTTTGTTATGCAGTGTAGCCTAAAGGTTTATTGTGTGTGTGTGTGTGTGTGTGTGTGTGTGTGTGTGTGTGTGTGTGTGTGTGTGTGTGTGTGTGTGTGTGTGTGTGTGTGTGTGTGTGTGTGTGCGTGTGCATGTGTGTGTGTGTGTAGGACTACGACCTGAGCCAGCTGCAGCAGCCTGACTCCTTGGAGCACATCATCA